CCTGCTGAAGGAGAGCAGCTGAGGCTTAGGAGAAGCACAAGAATATCAGTTATCAAGAAGCTTCTAGCAGGGTGACGATTTGTTAGTTTTGCTTAGCCCAGGTGGCCAAGCCTTGGAGGAAATAGAGAAAAGACATATTTTTTTAAAAGAAATAACCAGAACTCTTTAACATTTCCTTTTACTGCCTTTCCATTGTGCCAAATGAAAATGCCCAGATAGTAATAATACACAGCTGATGAGATAGTGTCTCTGTATTTCTCTGTCCCTGAGAGACAGGTCTCTGAACACTGAATTGCATGTGAGCTTAATGAATATTTGAATCTGAGGTGTAAGCTTTCTTTTTAACTAATACTTTGAAATATATCTTCTATGGGAGAACGTGAACTATTTTCTTCCAGTGAGGGTCAAGTGCATTATAACCTGTTTCAAGGATTGTGCTTGTGCTTGCATGTGTTCCCATGCCTAACACAATATTAATCCAGCTTTACTACACCCCTGGTAACATCACACGGGCTGTGCTGGAATTAGAGCTGCTGAGAGTCTGGCCCTTTCCTCCTATTGTGCTTGGATGCAGGAATTCCTCTAAAAACAAGCTGCTCACAGAGCTTGGCTGCTGCAGACTTCACAGCAACAATTCAGAGAATGCAAGATACAATGGCTGTGATTGTGTGGTAGCAGGTCCTTGCACAAACAAATACCTCACCATAAATTAAACCCTCAGAGAAACCTGGATTTTGGCAGGAAGAGAGGAAAATTCTAGAAAGGAGAGAAAGCACTAGATGGCTTTGCTGCATTTTCACAGGTAAAAGCCCCATGTCCAAGCTTGGAAGCACCTATTACCTGGAGCATTAATCAGCCGAACTAAAAACTCTGTTCCTCTCCCAGCTGCAAGCCCAACACTGCTCTTAGCATGCACGACACAGAACCAACCTGTGGCCAGGCTTGTCTCCCCCTCAGCAGGTGAATAAAGGAGTGTTTGCAGGGCCAGGTGCCGCTGGAGCGCAGCCCAGCACAGAGCCAGCTCTAGAAGGCATGACTGAGATGCCGTGGGTGACACGTGGGAAGTGCACACAAGTGGAAGGAAAATTGATTTAGGGAGACACGGGGTTGCATAACGTCAGTACTTTGCTACAGGACATTTATTAACTCTGAAAGGATGATTAAAAAAACACGGTAGATTAACATCTCGGCCCTGTGATGATTTCATCTTCATGAAAGAGAAACATCTATGTTTTCTGCTTTGTTTCATGGGAAGCTCTCACTTCCCATGAAAATGGTTTTCAGTAGTTTCTCTGCACTTACAGCACAATACAAACCACTTGCACTTGCACCACTCAGGTGAAAAGTGCATTCAGATGGCTCTGCCTGGGTTTTGCTGCTGCTCCTGTATCCACCAGTTACACACCAGTACTGGGAGCTTGCACTGCAGGGCTGGAACATCTCTTGAGAGTTTATGTGAGACAAGGCAGTCTGCTCCAAGCTGTCTGAGAACAGGACTTAGTCTTTAAAAAAGTTTTTTCCCAGATTAATAGAAATCAAGAATTAAAAAATTACCAAACCTACCCCCCTGCAGAAGCCAAGCAGTCTGTTCCAGCAGAACAGACTTTTGCAATTATTTCCATTTGCAATTATTTCCATTTCCTTGCTTTGTGCACTAAGAAAAAACAACTTTCAGTGAAAACCATGTGTTTGCATAACTTCAGCTGCAGGTCTTCAAAAGACCTGCTGCAGACCAGCACACATGAAATGCCCATCAGAACATGTACACTTCAGTCTGTATTATTACTCAAATGTCATTGTATTAAAATTCTCTGAGCATATCCACAATTCTGAGATAAGACACCTTTTGCATTCTCTCCTTTCCTAAATACCTGCTATCACCTACTCCCTGAAGCAACTTAATGTGTTAACCAATCATTCATCTATGCATATATATGATAGGTACTGCTTTGTAAAATCACTAAAAATGCCTAAAAATGTTTATGCTGGTGCCAGTTTCCAAGTGCTTCACTGCCTCTTTGAGCTCTTATTGGACAACTAAGTAGAAGTAGTGCAAGTCCTTCATACTTTGTGTTTCTGAATAGATGGGACAAGCCTCAGAGCCAACAAATCCCCTCAGACAGGATGCAGCCCCCACACAGTGCCTGGGGTGGGATTCAGGGAAGTCATGAAACCAGTGGGGCTGGATCTGGGTCTCTACTGTGTCATGAAGACCCCATCCCAAACCAAAGGTTTTCTTGGCCTACACCCTGTTCCCACCTAGCTGCTGTGCAGATGAGGAGGCTGTTCAATAATGGTTTAATTCTCCCTCAGCGTAAATAATCACAGAATGATTGGGTTGGGAGGGGTCTTTAAAGCTCATCCAGCCCCACTCCCTGCTACGGGCAGGGACACTTTCCACTAGATCAGGGTGCTCCAAGACTTATCCAACCTGGCCTTGAACTTTTCCAGGGATGGTTCAACCAAAGCTTCTCTGGGCAGTCTCTGACAGGGCCTCCCAATCTGACATGGAACAATTTTTTCCTAATGTCTAATCTAACCCTGCCCTCTCTCAGTTTGAAGCCACTCTCCCTTGTCCTACTCTGCTAAAGGGATGAAATTCCTGTGCTACCTCAACCCATCCCTAGCTCAAATGGGAGTGCCTGAGGGGTTGGAATAGGTGATCTTTAAAGGCCCCTTCCAGCACGAAGTATTCCATGATTGTGTGACACAATGAACACGAGCTGAGCAGCACTGCAGGACAGAAGGTGACCACGGTCACCCGGCAGCCTCTGTGACTCCGAATGCTCCGGAACGCGCTGGGCACTCACTGGGTGTGAAGTTGGAGACAGGTTAGTGCAAGTGACTCACCAGGTCACCTGGTGTGCTTGCCGTGCCAGCTGCAGTGAGCTGGCTCCATTTCTGCCCATGGAAACCCAGGGCAGAGGAGCACTGCCAGCTCACTCTTGCCTTTATATGGCAAAGAAATACATCCATTTCTTGGTGAATTCAGGCCCTCAGCCTCATCCATTTTTTGTCCCCACTGTACAAGTGGACTGGACAGTGACTCCAGCACTTCACATGCACATTACATCCCATTCTGCAGGCTCCTGAGTGCAAACAGCTCCTCACTCAGCATGCAGGGGAACACCCAGGGTCTCAACAGCATCACTCTGCACTGCAGCAGCACTTCATTCTAATTCTACAGGTTAGAAACAGGGAAAGCCCAAGCTGCATAAAGAGGGAAATCCTTTGAAAGGGAAAATGTAAATGCACTTTCACCAAATGGAGAGTGTTTATCTTGGCTGGAAATTTTGATTTAATTGAAAGTACATTCTGTTCATTTATTCCAGAATAAAGTATGAAAAAAGTGAAGGTTAATGAATTAATATAATGAATTATAACAAACCCAAAAAATGCCTTCCTGTATCAAGACACCATCCCTAGCACCACTCTTTCCTCCTCTTCGTTTCTTCCTTAGCCTTTTTATTCCAAGTCCTTACCTTCATGTCCTATACAAAGCCAAACTCTGTATATACTTTTCTGCATATACTGGTCCTGTAATCAGCCTCTCATATGGAACCTATCCTTTTACTAGCTGAGCTCTTCCAGAAAACAGAAAAATGTCCATTTCTTATTTATGCAAATATTTACTGTTTCCTGAAACGTCACCACCAGCCCTCCAGTACCACAAGAATAAGAAAATGGCCAGGATTAACCAGTGCTGCATTATCCAGGGTTTCCCCTACACAGACTCAGAGCTGCTTAATCACATTGGAGGGTGCAATGCCCAGGGATGAAGCAGCTTAAGTACTCAGCACCTGTGTTTCTGAGCATGGGTTCTGTCCCCCTGCTGTTTACAAGGCCTTTAATAAAGCTTTGAGAGAGTCAAGAACTAACACAAGACCTATGTGCCTGTATCATCCTATTTAGACTATCAGCTCCCAAAATAAATTCATTACTTCTTGCACAAGCTGGCACTCACCAGTGAGACCTGAAGCACTACTGGTTCTGAATTCACACAACAACACACTTTGGTGTTTGCTTGATAATCACCAAGAATTTGTTCAGGAAACAGAGTATGCTCTAGGAACAGGGATTTTTATTTATTTGATGACTTCATATTCAGAATTGGCTCTTAGACAAACAGTGAATTGGCTGTAGGCACTGATTTTTGCTGTTAGGTGTAAGCCCCTGATCCAGGTGCCTGAATAATGCTGTGCAGGCTGTATGAGGTGTCAAAGGTTATTCCAGCAACTCCTTATGCAATGGGTGTGTGTCCCAAAGGGAACCCCATCTCCCAGTCCTGCACCCCCAACACTTTATTTAGGCCTAAACACCTTTGCTGGGCCTATAACAGTCCCCTGTCTTATTTAAACCTTTTATATCATCTGGTAAATTTAATAAGTGTATTTTCACTAGCCTCAAGGGTTTCTTACTACAGCTTCTAACATGCAGTCCCCAATATTGTCTCAGCAGAGAAGAAAGCACCATGACTAAGGCAGATTGGAAACAAGAACTGTGAATTTGGGCATCAAACTCTTGAATCAAGGCTGGGTACTTCTAAAGATTGGTCAGCTTAAAGTGCAGTTCAATGAGAAAAAGGAATGTATGAATGCATGTGAGTAATGGAACAAGGCACCATGGACAACACCAGGCTAAGCCTGTGCTCATGAGAAAGGTTGAACTGATCCCAACAGGTGATTATGAAACTGAATTTAGGTGCCTATTATTGATGGCTGATGGATTAATTCAAACTGGAAGTATGGGTTAAGCAGCAGAGAAGCTTAGTAAATGAGACATATTCTTATAACTCTGTGGAAGTCTGGGAGAACAGGGAACGTGAAGAGGGAATGTGCTCATGGACACAAAAGAATCAGGTGCTCAGAGAAAGGATTTTCCTCTTTCTGGTTCCAAAGTTATGTGGTAAAGAGAATAAACACAGATCAGAAAGAGACATTGTAATTAACTGCCTTTTTTTCCTTTTCCCTTGAATTTTACCAAAGGTTCAGAACGTCAAGATGGAAAACTGTGTTGATGTCAAGATAGAAACCAACGGAGAAAGAATGCCAATGAAGCAGAATCCACTAAGCACAGGTGGGAAAAGTTTCTGCAGAGCTGTGGGTTACCTCACTGGAGACATGAAGGATTTTGGAACCTGGCTGAAAGGTAAACCTACTTCATCATGACTAATGACAGTGGATTCAAAAAAAAAAAGTACATCAAAGGAGTAATAACTAACTTCTTAGTGATTTGATTCAAGTTAGAGTAGTACAGAAACTACCTCTACCCTGATTTATGTCCATTTTGTAGGGGAAAAAAATCAGCTTTGTGCAGAGATCCACATAGTGCTTAAATCTTGGGGATGTCTGAGATGACATTTACCTCCCAGCATGCCATGTACAAAGTGAATTTAGTCCCACAGAACATAGCCCTGGATGGTTATTCTGTACTCTGCCATTCTTCTTAACACTCCATGTCCTTTCAGCTGAGCAGTTTCTGTCAAGCCTAATGCCACTGTGAAGTTAAATTACACATAGGTAGGTGTGTTTGGTCCCTGCAATAAATCAGCAGTGGGATACACACACGATTTGCCATCTGAGCCACAGACATCATAAATTAGCTGGTTCATATGAATCTGGTCCAGGGTACTTTATAACACAGGGTTCTGGCAACCTCACTGTTCATCTCAGTTTTCCAGCTGTAAGCCTTCACTGTGGACCATAATAAATCCCTGTCAGGCTTTACAGTCTTGTTGATTCATTGCTGCAGTCGTGGTGCCAAGTCCCACTGCCAAAACTTTTCCTCAGTTTCAAAAATACATCCCAAATCAGTACCATCTGCAGACTTTAGGGGGCTTGTTTTATTAGAGGATTTGATCTTTTCCAGACAAACCTCTCATGATCCAGCTCCTTGACTGGGTGCTGCGTGGGATATCCCAGGTGATGTTTGTCAACAATCCCCTCAGTGGGCTGGTCATTCTGGCTGGCCTCCTGCTGCAGAACCCGTGGTGGACACTCACAGGATGTGTGGGAACACTTGTCTCAACTTTAACAGCACTTATTCTGGGTCAGGACAGGTAAGTCCATCCTTTTCCCCTGCAGGTGGCCCCTTCAGTGCTGATTTATGTGTTAGATGTTTGATGTGCATGAGAAGCCTGAACTTAGTGGGAGGTGTCCCTGCCCATGGCATAGGGTTGGAACAAGGTGAAATCTAAAGATCTTTCCAACCCAGCCCTTCCATGATTGTGTGATCCAGCCATGACTGGGCATGTATCTGGTCTGGTAGGACCAGAGAAGTCTCCCAGCAGCTGTACCTGGTGCAGGGGGACACTGGACAAACCTGCAGAAAGGGTGGGCACTGACCCAAGTGTGCGAAATCGGATTTCGGTGGACGAGTTCCAGCAGGTCATCCCCAAACAGAGCCACAGCTGGGGAGGGAGGCCTGATGTGAGCAAGCATCCTCAGGGGAGAGGACTTCAGGACAGTTGTTCCCTCCACACAGATCAGCCATAGCAGCAGGCCTGTATGGCTACAACGGGGTCTTGGCGGGATTGCTGATGGCTGTCTTCTCTGCTGATGGAGACTACAACTGGTGGCTCCTCCTGCCTGTGGCACTGGTGTCCATGACCTGGTAAGACAGATGGCTCCTCTGCTTCTCCTTCCAGCCCCAGAGTCCCCACACCTGGGACTGAGCTGCTGCATTTCTATGCTGCTGGCAGGGAAAGGGAACACAACTAACACACATGTACTGTTAAATCTGCGTTGTTATTTACACTTTTAAATTCAGATGTAATCCAGAAACAAATAAAAATTCTCACATAATCACAAATAATCCCAGTGGGGAAAACAAAAATCAGTGGCTGATCATGTGTAATTCAATGTTCTGAACATGACTCATATTGCTGTGATGCATCAATTCATTTCTGTTTCAAGAGGAACATTATTTTCACTATTTCCTACCATCATCAACCACAAGCGTTTCATCTATTTAAGTCACCATATAAAAATGTCATGAATATTTACTTCTCCAAGTACAGAAGCTGTTCAGTGGTCCCAAGACAAGATGGTTGACACTAATCAAAATAAACAACTAGTAATATTTTACTCATATATATGACACCATAATCCACTAGGTATTTGGCCAGCAAAACATTTTGAAACCTGGTCTTTGACCCCAAAATGTCTAGCTGCAGATTGCTAAAACCACACATGTAATTTGTCTGCCTGAATTTCATGTGGTGTTACAGTCACTTTGATGTCAGCTTTTACTGCTGATGCACAAGCCTGAGCAAGGGCACCTAGCCACATTCACAGCTCACAGTTCACTCAGACCCAGCATGGGTATCACAGTCTCAGTCCACCTCAGGTGCTAAAAAAAAAAAAGGTAAACACTAAAATTGGGCTGGGGAATAACTCCATTAAAGCACTGGATTCTGTCTCCTTCACGTTTACCAAATTCACCATACATACTAACGTAACATGACAGGAATGTGTACATTGATAATTGCCTTTGGAGAGGTAAGAAATTTATGGAGTGACCCTTTCTGTCTCTGATTTGATCAGAAAGACTGAGGAAATTAAACAGATAGAAGCAGGAGAAAGGGGTTTTTTGGTTTAGTTGGTTTTTTTATTTGTTTTAAATAGACCAAATTTTCTGCAGCTGGGTTTACAGTTGGATGTGCTTCTGGTGTGATTTTTGCCATCTGACAGGCTTCATTTTGTTCTTCTTTCAGCCCTATTTTCACTAGTGCTTTAAGTGCAGTTTTCTCTAAGTGGGACCTGCCTGTTCTCACCTTGCCTTTCAACTTGGCCTTGACCCTCTACCTGGCTGCTTCAGGGCCACACAACCTCTTCTTCCCTACGACCGTCATTCGTCCTGCGACAGCAACACCAAACATCTCCTGGGCAGAGGCTGAAATCACAATGGTAGGATGCCTTAGGTGTGACAGTCCCCTTCACTTACAGTTAAAAACACTACAGAAACATATTATCTTCTTTTATAAATTCCTACGGATCGGGTTGGATGGGACCTTAAACGACCATCCAGTGCCACCCCCTGCCATGGGCAGGGACAATTTCACTGTCCCAGGCTGCTCCAAGCCCCATCCAGCCTGGCCTTGGACACTGCCAGGGATCCAGAGGCAGCCACAGCTGCTCTGGGCACCCTGGGCCAGGGCCTGCCCACCCTGCCAGCCAGCAATTCCTGCCCAAGATCCCAAAATCTGTGCCTGCCCTGTGGCAGTGGCAGCCATTGCCTGTGTGCTGTCCCTGCAGGCCTTGTCCCCAGTCCCTGTGCAGCTCTCCTGGAGCCCCTGGAGGCCCTGGCAGGGGCTCTGAGGTGTCCCTGGAGCCTTCTCTTGTGCAGGGGAACAGCCCCAGCTGGGCCAGGCTGGCTCCAGAGCAGAGGGGCTCCAGCCCTGGCAGCATCTCCGTGCCTCCTCTGCACTCGCTCCAATGGGTTCCACATCCATAATGCAATACTGCATTATGGCCTGGCAGTACAAAATTTAATTTATAAGAGAACTATTATCCAAAATGTAAGGGTTTGCTCTAGGAATGTATATTCTGATAGCTTGAAAAGCTATCGAAGAGAATCTTTTCATGTGCAGTTGGATCCAACTGTATAGATTATAATCTTCAAATACTCTCTTGAATCTAATTACCCATTTCTATTTCTATGCATATACTGATCATCTTCCCATAGCTAAGGTTGTGCTGAGAATTCCAGTTAACTCACAGGGTAATTTTAATTTTTCAGATACAGGCTGTTTATAAAGTTACATCTTTCTGATTAGACATCAGCAAGCAGATATTACTGTGTTAGAAAGGTTAAAAACTTGGGCACAGGTACACATTCACATATTTTTAATTTATATCCAAGTGGGACCTTTCCAAAGGAATATTTTATTCTCCTGGATTATACCATAAACACTGCAGATACCAGAGTAACTATTTTCTCCTAAGGCTCAGCTGACTATTTTAAGGGGTTCCCAGGGAGTGATTAAGAAAAGGAAGTTAATTGACACTAAACAGAAACCCAAAAGTGACATTTCTCAAAGAACCCTTACTGTGGCATATAGTTTTATGGGGACTGTATGCAAAAAGTGCCCAAAACCATCTCTAAGCTGTGACCAAGCCGGGCTCTGTCCCACCAGACATATTGCTCATATTTCTAGTGGATCCCAACCATCCCCTAAGTTCACTCTCTATGGATATGCAGAAATGGTCCAGTCAGCAGCACATGCAAGAGGATGATTAAGCCCTTTCACAAAATCTTTACCTTTGATCTTAGAGCAAAAACCTGGCAGAGGAGCTCAGGGCTAAGGAACAAGCCATGACTCATTTTCATGGAAGGGGAAACCCTGTGGAAATGCCCTGCTGTCATTTCCTGAGACCTGTCCAAATGTTCCATTTAAAAAGAAAGACTGCATCCAACAAATGCCAAACGTGAGCCTGGCCAAGCAAAATAGATTTAAAAAGAAACCAAGAGAAAAAAAAGAAAAGGTTACAAAGCTGATAACAAATTGTGTTGTTTGGTTTGTTAATTTCTACAGCTCCTGCGATCCATCCCAGTCGGCGTGGGCCAGGTTTATGGCTGCGACAATCCTTGGACTGGGGGAATTTTCCTGATTGGTTTATTTATCTCCTCTCCACTCATTTGCGTCCACACAGTGATCGGCTCAGCAGTGGGGATGCTGGCAGGTAATGGTTTGGCTTGTGCCACAGATTTATACAAAAGCATGGAGAGTAAAAGAAGAACTACAATAAGTGGAGCAATTAAAGCCACAAGAATTTCTCCCAATGGAGAATGGCTGATGTGAAACAAAATATAATCAAACTTCTGTTTTAAGAACTCTTTTGATTCACCTCCCCATTCTCCTACCTTGTTTTATGAAGGTGGAAACCTTCAGAAGAAAAAAGTGCCTGTTGAGCTGAGATTAATTTTTACCACAAAATACTTAATTTCTGGGTGTATCCTGGTGGGTTTAGGAGAAGATCAATGAAAGTCATAGCCATAAGCCTGAACATGCAGGCCTCAGGGATTCATTTAAGGTTCACATGTAGGCTCATTCACTCGTGTGTGTTCTGCTGCAATCAAATCAGCAAAGTCAGCTCAGCAGCAACAGGAAAATTCCCCGATTCCCTTAGACCCCTAGACCCTAGCAACATGACTACAAACAGCCCCACGTACAAATGCTGGCTAGAACCTTTGAAAATCTGGATTCATGCCACTTCTCCAGTGCTTTCATCTCTTTGGCCAAGAAATGACACATTTCTCTTACTTTATTTTCCAGGGCTGAGCTTGGCAACGCCGTTTGACCAAATCTACTCGGGGCTGTGGGGCTACAACAGCTCCCTGTCCTGCGCTGCCATCGGGGGCATGTTCCTGGCTCTCACCTGGCAGACACATCTCCTGGCCATGGCCTGCGGTAGGTACCTGGCAGGTTTGCACCTCCCCTTGAAGTGAGACAGGATGCCTTTGCAGCAGAGGTGGGCTGCAGCCAGATGGGCACTCCAGGCAGGAAGGCAGATGGATTTAGGTGAGGCTGATGAGCAGTGGGGCTGGGTGTTGGAGGCACAGCTTTAACACACTCTGTTTTCGTTTTTGGCCAGGAGTTGTGTTTAAGGAAAGAGCTGTGATCAGTGGACACGTGGTAACTGAGGTCTTTGAAATCAGATGCTTTGTTTTTTTGAGTCATTAATTGTGTTTGTTCGCTCATTGCTGGATGAATCATGGGTGTTTTTTTCCAGCCATGGATACCAGCTCAAATTCCTTCTTTGAAGAAGGACATGCCTAATCTTTGAGAAGAGTGGAGCTCTGCTCTAGTTAGACAGTACACACTCCCCATTCTCTTGAAATGGATCAAAGGCATGAGCTAGGCAACACAGCAGGATTGAAGAATTATTTATAAGGCAATTCCATATGAAATTTCAATATCAGAGTGAGCTGGCAGTGAAACTATTGCTCATTCAGTGCTCATATAAGAGAGACTTAGCTCTGTATGTCATTGACCCACCTTCAAGCCCTGGAGGCAGGACAGATGAGAGTAGAAGGGTTATTTTCCTATTTAACCCCATCCATCAAGCTATATACTTCCATGTCAGTGCATTTTTCAAAAGCCCATGATACCATTGCACATTTTTGATCACTCCCTTTTTGTTTGTTGGTTTGTTTTTGTTTGTTTGTTTTACCCCTCCCATAAGGTCCAGGTTGGAGGGGACACAGGAAGGGGTTTAGCAAGGTACTACCCAGACCGGGTGTTAATCACTGGTTGAGCTACCCAAGGCAGAAGGAGAGGTGTTTGTCATTGCTGTTCTACTCCATGAGCAACTGAACTCACCAGGAACTGCCTTTCTTTTCCACAGCACTCTTCAGTGCCTACTTGGGAGCAGCAGTGACCCACATGTTGTCTGTGGTAAGTAGTGTATCAGCTAAGGGCCGATTTCCCTGGCTTGTCAGACAAAACACCAAGATGTGACGAAAAATTCAGCCAAAGGCAGAAACAGTCTGGAAGAAGGGTTTCTATCTGGTTGGTGTTATTCCCACTGGAGCTGGTGACTTGGAATTATCACTTGCCACTTTCCATCCTAAGAGTTCACATGAACTTCCACAGCTCAGCTCTAGCACTTATGGGATCACAGAACCATGGAATGGTTTGGGTTGGAAGGCACCTTAAAACTGATCAAGTTCCACCCCCTGCCATGGGGAGGAATACCTTCCACTGTCCCAGGGTTCTCCCAGCCCCATCTATCCTTGGACACTTCCAGGAATGAGGCAGCCACAGCTTCTCTGGGCACCCTGTACCAGGGCCTCACCACCCTCACAGGGAAGAATTCCTCCCCCATATCGAATCTAACCCTCCCCTCTGTCAGAGGAAAGCCATTCCCCCTTATTCTGTCTAGGCCCTTCCCCAAAGTGCCTCTCCAGCTCTCCTGGACCTGCTTTAGGCACTGGCAGGCTGCTGGAATATCTCCCCTCTTTCAGATATTTACTTCATGCCTGAAGCAATTGGAAAAAGGGTCTTGTCCATGTTAAAGAAACACTGAATTTGGATTAACTTCTTTTCTCAGTTGCCAAAGTCAGACAGTACCACAGCCCAGGGAAAGGCTGAATGTTTCTGGTATCTGCTCTCCTGTCTCATTGTCACCCTCTCCTACCTCATGCCCACCCAAGAAACCCCCACAGCAGATGAGGCAGCCCACTCACCAGAGCTGGCAGATGTTGCAGGCTGATGCACAATGTCAAGACATCATAAAGAAACCCAGCCTCCCTAAGGAAAGGCTCAATGCAAAACCGAGTCCTGACTTCCTCCAGAAAACTTGTTCCAAGGTGTCCAGCTCTGGGTCTTACTCTAATAAAAGAAAGACAGGTAGTAAATGGGTGGTTTGTAATTTTTCTTTGCAGTTTGGGGTGCCATCTGGAACCTGGCCTTTTTGCCTGTCTGCGCTGACCTTCCTGCTAATGACCACAAGCCGCTCTGCGATCTGCAGGCTGCCACTCTCCAAAGTCACCTACCCAGAAGCCAACAGAGCCTATTATCTGATGATGAAGAAACACGAGAGGTCCTGCTGTGAGGCATAGAGGCCCAAGAAGAGAGAAACTCAGCTCATTTTAAGGCAGGAGCACGAGGTGTTTGCCCAACAGACTGTGATTTGTGTGCTGCAATGTCCAACGCCACCCTCTGTGTGGAGAGACTTTTCTCACCACATCAGTTTGTCCTATTAAGAAGATTTCTATTAGGTAGGACTGGGCTGTGCTGGAAGGACCATTCCCCAGTATCAACCTGTTATGATTTTAAAGCACACAGGTCTGAAACGACACTTGAATTATAAGCAATGGGAAAATTACTTATAAGCTGAAAAGAAAAATCTCTCTCTGAAATTGAAGACATCAAAATCAGACATAAAGAAATAAAGAACATCTTTCAGCATATGAGGGGACTTCAAACTAATGGCTAAACATCTTATGACATCAACAGAAGGCATCTTAGACAATTTCACTGTAGCAGAAAAATGGAATAAAGAGCACTCCTTGCCAAGTAGAAAATAGGTTGTGAAGAATTCTATCTGGAGGACCTCTCAAACTCCATGGAGAGAGATGTTCATTAGCAATCAACAAACATAAGATAGAAATTATTTTTGTGATTTTTGTGTTAATCTCATGATTTTTTTTAATATTTGAATTTGGTGATGGGTTAGCAAGGGAGGGGACAGCAAGAAAGTCATTGCTGTCCCTTTCCTATGCAATAAAAGGGCTCTGTTCAGTCAGTGCACAAATAGAACTAATTTGAGCTGATCTTCTGAACTCCTCTCCTTACACTGTCCCACTCAGCCCAGGAATATCAAACAGCAAAATGCTGCACTGTCCCAGCCTGCTGCTGAAGCTCAGGTGGCTCAGGGGGAACTTGTGGCTCTGCACAGCTCCCTGACAGGAGGGGACAGCCAGGGGACAGCTCCAAGGGAACAGGGACAGGAGGAGAGGAAATGGCCTCAAATTGTGCCAGGAGAGGTTTAAATTGGATTGGATTATTGGGGATAATATCTTTGTAGAAATGGTTATCAAGCCTAGGAAGAGGCTGTTTGGGGCAGCAGTGGCATCCCCATCCCTGGAGGGTTTTAAAGGCCTGGTGGCGCGTGGGGACATGGGTCAGTGGTGGCCTTGGCAAAGACTCTGTGATTCTGTGATTCTGTGGAGCTGCTGCTCTGCCTTTCCTCTCTGCCCCACAGTGGGAAGGGGACATTTGGGGTCAGTCCAGCAGAGCTCTGCAGGACTCCAGCCACGTGCCACCTCTGCCCAGGCTCCCAGGGTGTGCAGGTAGGGCAGAGGGAAAAGGGAAGCTGTCCTTGCACCCCGCAGTGTGGATCACCTTGACAGGCATGAACTCAGCCACCTTTCTGCCTGGCTCACTGACATACTCTGTCTCATGCTGAAGCTCATATCTTCACCAAAAATATTCCATGAGCACAGGTCCTTCAGCTGACAGGAGCCTACATGCATTGACGTCACACCAGGAAAAGCAAACCAAAAACCTGTTTTCCTTGTAGCAAATGAAATAAAATCTAGCATGATTTTTGAGTTTGGGAAGGGGAAAAAAAGACCCCGAACCATGTATTTTTGCAAATATCACAAAGACCTGGGTGTAAAATATTTGTGATGAACTGTTGGCAGTATCTTCTGGTGAAGTTTTAGGTTTTCAGATGTTCAACAGTATTTCTGTATGACTGACTCCCACTTGTAAAATGTAGCATTTCCATGATTTAAAATAATAAATATCTACATAATGTTCTGTGGAGTTAATTTCTAAAACAAACATTCATAGTTTTTTGAGTTTGCTTTAAGTTTCTCTCTCTTTATTATCATTAAGTTCTTCCAAAGATTGGTTGCCTCTTAAACAAGTAGTGTAGAAGACACTGGAAAATAAAATTTTTAAATCAGTGTGTGTGGGATACATAGGAAACTTTGAAATTTTGCTCTTTGTGCTTATCATAGAATCACAAAATTTTTTGGGTTAAAGGGTCCTTGTTCTATCTATCCTGCCATGGGCAGGGACACCTTCCACTGTCCCAGCTTGCTCAGGCCCCATCCAGCCCAGCCTTGGACACTTCCAGGGATCCAGTAGCAGCCACAGCTGCTCTGGGAAATTGGTGCCAGGGCCTCACCACCCTGCCAGTCAGGAATTCCTTCCCAATATCCCAAAATCTGTCCCTGTCCTCTGGCAGTGTAAACCCCTGTCATTCCCCCTGTCCTGCCACCCACGACTTAGCCAAAACCCTCCTCCATCTCTCCTGGAGCCATTTTAGGCACTCAAAGGGGCTCCAAGTCCTCCTCAGAGCCTTCTCCAGGTTGAACAGCCCCAGCTCACTCTGTCCTTTGGCATTTTGCAGCATCAAACCTCCTTAAACTTGCAAGTGCAAAGCCTGGCTCTATACAGGAGGCACAAACAGCCCAAGGCACAGCACTGGGTCAACAGAGCCACATAAACCTCCTCAAATCCAGGAGTGGTTCATTCCCAGGGGAGATGCTGGACAGACCCCCAGACTGGGGCTAGATGAGGTCATGTTCTGTCTAGAATATTCCTGGAGCAGAGAGCCATGGAGATGCCCTGGGGTTGGAGCTCCTCTGCTTTGGAGCCAGGCTGGGAGAGCTGGAATGTTCACCTGGAGAAGAGAAGGCTCTGGGGAGATCTTTTTGTGGACTCTCAGTACTTAAAGTCTCTTTAAGAAAGATGTGGACAAAATTTTTATCAGGGCCCTGATGGGAAAAGGGTTGATGGCTTTAAACTAAAAGAGGATCTATTCTGACCAGATAAAAAGAAGAAACTTTTCATGGGTAGGGTGGTGAGGCACTGGCTCACTGCCCCGAGATGTGGTAGATGCCCCAACCCTGGAAAAATCAAGGTCCAGTTGGGCAGGTCTCTGAGCCATTGGTGCAGTGGAAGATATCCCTGCCCATTGCAGGGGGTTGGACTGATGACATTCAGGTGTCCAACACAACCCAGAGCATTCTCTGGTTCTGTGATTTATCAAACTGTAGTGTAAAAGGGTATTTTAATGTCTGAACTGAGATCTCCCCACCCAGGACCACGAGTGCCCCAGAGACGCAAACCAACAGAGGCTGCTTTCACCCTTGTGCCAAAATATGCACTCCAGCAAGAGAACACAATTTATGTCCAGTGCAAAGCAGCAGATTTCCTCTGACTTGTGCTATTCCAGCCTGCTGTTGCTGAGCAACAGGGACATTTTGGCAGTACCATAAAGAAATCATACACACAGAACCAAAAAACAACAAAAGATGAAGGCTATGTCCCAGCCACTTAGAAAGATTTTGCACTTCATTCAGAATTAATTCTACATTTCACACTATCCAGTGAATTTATTCTTCCCATCACCTCTCAGGAAATAACAGCTATTTGGAAATTTGACATGTAAGTCAGTCAGAACATGCATATTATGCTTTTTCCCATTATTGTTCAAAACACTGTCTTTGCTAACAGAACTAATTTATCTTATTACTGAAACTGTTTTTTTTCGTTGGTGGTTTTTTGGGGGTTTTTTTGGGTGGTTTTTTTTTGGGGTTTTTTTTTTTGGTTCTTTTTTTTTTTTTTTTTTTTTTTTTTTTTTGGGGTTTTTTTTTGTGGTTTTTTTTTTGTGTTTTTTTTTTTTGTTTTTTTTTTTTTGTTTTTTTTTTTTTTTTTTTTTTTGGTTTTTTTTTTTTTTTTTTTTTTTTGTCTTGACATCAGATAAATGCTATTCAGATCATCCTTCTTTTTCAAGCATTCTTTTTTCAATGTTGTTTCTGCTACACAGGTGATACCAGACTCATAGGAAAGACACTGAGCAGAAATTTTGGGATATTTTCCTGGATTACCTCCCTCCCAGTACCAGCAAAGAGTTTGCATTGTGTTTGCAGTTCTGACAAGAAATACATACATAAATAAAATAAGTAAATACTATTAAAAGTAATTCATGGGGGAGAAATTAATAAAAAAACAAATAAACAAACAAAAACATAAATTAAAAAGTAAAGTTTAAAAAAACCCTAACTACTGGGAGACATCTGCTGGGAGTCACATTTTATCCAAAAGTCTAACTCAAATAAACTGCCTGACTGCCACTTCCTAAGCTGCTCTCATTGATGATGTCTGATGTGCACAGTTCTCCCCAAGACTCCCAGTTTCATGTCAAGTGCCCAAATCTGGGGAAATGCAACAATGCAGTGTCCTTTATCTGATCCTCCCGGCCTGCTGCAGGTTCTGTTTGGTTTTAGTGGGCTGCACATGAAATACAAACAGTATAAAGAATGCTGGTGTTGATAATTATCTAATCTTTTGAATCTTGACACTAAGTGAGAAGGAATTTACACAGAATTTGGCCACAGCTGGGCATAATTCACCTGCTAAGAAAGATGCTACCCACGAGGAAGCAGGACTGTGCATTGAAAAGATTATTCTCAATTATTTCTTGATTGTTTCCCTCTCCCTCATTCACTGCATGACAAGTGAATTGTTGGGCACAAATTAACACCTTTCTGAAGTTTCTCTTTGTCTTGCCATGGAAAATTGCCTTCAGGTAGTAAGGCCTATTTTGTTACCAGCAGCTAGGCTTTTTCCAGATTTGGAATGAGATGAGGAAACTGCACAACTCCCAAAGCAAATACACCTCGATGACTTAGGGCCCTCACTCTCCATGTTCTCAGAGGCACAGATAGACCATGGCAATTAATTTCACATCTATTGAAACAGAAACTGTTTAAACAGGAGTTGGAGGCCTCAATATTTCAGGGATGTGGGTCAGAAGGATCATTTTAGGCCCCCAAAGGTGCTTTACTTGCAAAGGGGCTGTGAAGGTTGAGTTACTCACCTTGAGGCTGAGGCCCCCTGACTTGCTATTACACTCCAGTGCATAGCAGAATCACAGAACAGAATCATAGAATGGTTAAGGTTGGAAAATATCATCTAGTTCCCCCCAGCACTGCCAAGGCCACCACTGGCCCATGTCCCCAAGTTCCACATCCACACAGCTTTTAAATCCCTCCAGAGATGGGGTCTCCACCACTGCTCTGGGCAGCACCAGCCAGAGCTGGAAACTCTTTGAGTGAAGAAATTTTTCCTTAACATTCAACCTAAACCTCCCCTGGTACATCTTGAGGCTGTTTCCTCAAAGCAAAATTTAAAAAGAAAAAGAAAAAAAACCTCATAATGTTCACCATTTAGGTTGGAATATATCTCTAAGATCACTGGCATTAGGATTTCCCACAATAAATTCAAACTCTTAGAAGGGAGCAACAAAATCAACCCTGTGAACAAACAGAAGCACCTGTGAGGAAAATCACAGCCCAGTTGTGTTTGGAACACTGGAGCAATTGCTTTAATTTTTAGGACCAGTGATGTCATCAACAGTAATTTTTTTAGTAAAATAAAACTACATATGTGCAGTTGCAAAAATGGAAATTAAATTGCAGTTTTTTAGAAAGTCTGTATATTTTTTTTTCCTTTTACCTCTCATGAAAATATATAGATTAGAAGAAAATGGATAGAAGCCATGGTCTTAGAAAACTGACTAACTACAAATCCTTTCAGTTTAGATTAAACATTCTTGGATTGGTCATCAGTTTAATCGGATAAGGCTGGGATCAGTGGGAGGTTAAGGATCAGATTTGCTAAGGAGAACACTTAGAGAAATAATTCTAGGAAAAGCGTGCCCCTGGAATGGTGCACTGGGAAGGAAAAGAAAGAATTATTTCAAGTGGAATTTTCCAGCAAACAGTGCTGGTGCCTCAGTCACAAAACAGCTACAAAACTCACGGTAGTGTATAATTTTGGTGGGGGAGAACGTGACACTGTAGGAAAGTGCCAGTGCAGAGGAGGCACGGAGATGCTGCCAGGGCTGGAGCCCCTCTGCTCTGGAGCCAGCCTGGCCCAGCTGGGGCTGTTCCCCTGCACAAGAGAAGGCTCCAGGGACACCTCAGAGCCCCTGCCAGGGCCTCCAGGGGCTCCAGGAGAGCTGCACTGGAACTGGGGACAAGGCCTGCAGGGACAGCACACAGGCAATGGCTGCCACTGCCAGAAGGTAGGGACAGATTTTGGGATCTTGGGCAGGAATTGCTGGCTGGCAGGGTGGGCAGGTCCTGGCCCAGGGTGCCCAGAGCAGCTGTGGCTGCCCCAGCCTTGGAATTTTTCAGGCCATATGAGGATCCAGGATGGTATCTCCCATTGGATTCACTCCAGCATAACCCAACACATCACTTATCTCCAACTCACCTTTATCTAAACTGTGTGGGTGACTCTGCCCACATACAAATACCTTAGAACACAAACTCTCCCTCCCCAGAGAGAGAAATAACACTCAACAGCAGGCGTCCTGTGGTGGTGGCTTAGCAACCAGAGGCAGCTCTGTGCAGCTGTTCTGCCAGGAACCATGAGCAGAGAGCAAGCTTGCCACACAAGAAAAAAATCAGTTTTGTCCACAGAACAAAGAAATCCCCTGAGGGATATTGAATTTCTGTTCTTTGCCCCAAGATACACCCCCTGGTTTTGTCTGTGCCATCGTGAATGGCTCTTTGAGCCATCTTTTACTCCCTTTTCCATTTCCCCAGTCCTGGTTTGCTCACAGTGCATTGGTGCACATGGTCCCCAGCCCCTCTGGGAAAGAATTCTGACTTCTCCACACCCCTAAACATTACAAATCCACTAATCCTTGACATTCTTTATCCAAAACACCTCCAGTTTCTACCAGAGCTTATCCAGTGTCTCATTGCACCCACATTCCTTCACTGTCCATCTGCAGTCATCCATGGGCAGGACCCTCACTGGGGCTCACCCCAGCCCAGCTGCCCTCAGCAGCTTCTTGGAAAGTACATACCATCCATTCCCTCCTTAAAAAAAAAGCCTAAAGACACAGAATTCTATTGAATTTCTGTTCTTTGCCCCAAGATACACCCCCTGGTTTTGTCTGTGCCATCGTGAATGGCTCTTTGAGCCATCACTCCCTTTTCCATTTCCCCAGTCCTGGTTTGCTCACAGTGCACTAGGTCACCAGCCCCTCTGGGAAAGAATTCTGACTTCTCCACACCCCTAAACATTACAAATCCACTAATCCTTGACATTCTTTATCCAAAACACCTCCAGTTTCTACCAGAGCTTATCCAGTGTCTCATTGCACCCACATTCCTTCGCTGTCCATCTGCAGTCATCCATGGGCAGGACCCTCACTGGGGCTCACCCCAGCCCAGCTGCCCTCAGCAGCTTCTTGGAAAGTACATACCATCCATTCCCTCCTTAAAAAAAAGCCTAAAGACACAGAATTCCATTTCTGTGGGATGCAGAGTGATGAAAAACATGTAACCTGACAAAAGGCTCCACAGCTCCAGCGACTTCCTCCATCCAGGTGCAGGATCTGGGAAATCAACAAAACCATCACTGAGGCACTCAGAAAGGGCAGATTATGTGTGATTTGACCGCCTTTCAACCTCATGATAGAGAAGACTCTTTTAGATTACACTAATTTAACTGGAAAATACAAAAAAAAAAAAAAAAAAAAAAAAAAAAAAAAAAAAAAAAAAAAAAAAAACAAAATTCAAGCAAGAAAGGATCCACACCCAAAAGGG